AAAACATTTCTGTATTCATCTGAGTTTTTAGAATCGTAGAGGAGTTCAACTTTTGACTTGTTTTGCTTCTGGTGTGGGCGATTATGCTCGTGGTTGCGAAGTTTAATTCGTAATCCGTTTCGTCGATGTAGGCAGCCACTTCCGATAGTCCATCATTCTGTTACACAGCCAGCTTATATTTGTTTATGCGCGATTTGAGCATGCGTTTAGTCTGACCTGTGTAGTTAAAATGCCAGTTTGGGCACGGAAGGGGATGCACTGCATCCGACCACTCACTAGGATTTAATTGGTCCTTTATTTTTAAGACTCTGCTGCGTTAGATAGCTTTTGACTTCTATGGAGTTCGGTCATCTAGTCCCAAAGCAATGCACTCGGTTGCCTCTGACCCGCTATTGATGCATGGCAGCACCTGCTATATCATAGTCTGTGGTTCTTGTTGGGTCCTTGGGGAGGCAGGGGTTAACACTAAGGCATCAGCTTATGAACGCCCTCGGATAGCATTTTCCAGATATCGAGCCTCACGCGCGTTTTTCATCAGGGTTGCTGAATTGGTTCCGGGTTCCTTTGAAAAATTTTTTCACATATCTTCGATTGTGAGTCCCCGGATAGTCCGCTTTTAATTCATTAATTGCCGTTACAACCTCGCTTATCCAGTTGCCCTTCCCCATACTCTGTTCGCACTTATTGTTCCTCTGGTATTGACTACTCTATGTATTTAGTAAAAGCGCGTTTAGAATCCTGCTCAGGGTCATGGACTGATGTCCTTCTCCCGGCGGGTGATGCAAAAATAAATAAACAGGAAATTTAGCTTACTTTAGGCCAGACAGCACTGATTTACACTTTTACTATACATGAAATGCCTCATTAAAGACACCAGCTTAATCATTTTTGCGTTTATTTATTGTGTTGTCTTGCAGCATAGGTCGTACAATGAGGGGCTGCAGCCATGGTATCGCAAACGATCAGAATACGGTCTGTCGTCGCTGGGGAGTCACGAGATGACGACAACTGAGGAAGGTTTTGCATGCATCAACACTTCCCTAGGTGCAAAAAATCACTACCTGGCAGTTCCGGCCCTTCTTTACTGTAAGTTTTTAAACTATCACTTGGTTAACTTTATATCAGCTACGGCGTCCGCCACATTTTAGTCCTTAATATCCCAGTTGCAAAACAGACTGTTTTTAAGTGCCACAATAGCACAAGTCGTTGCATTTGTAAGACAGACAAGTTTGAATAGCACTCAACTCTCTCCTGTGTAAGCAGAAGTAATAAGCAATTCAGGGCTCCCGAAAAAGTTTTCATTTTTCCGCAGCCAGGAGAAATTGTATTTAAAAACGTG